AGTCAACATTTTTTATGAATTCCATTGAATTATCGTCTATACATGCACCCACTCACGCTGCCTATTTACAGGAGTCTATAAATTATTATGAAAGTCCAATTTGGAAATAATTATTTAGATTTGCATTCACGATTATTTGATTTAAGATCGAATGATATTATTGACGGGTAATAATACAAGATCAGTACCTATACGTGTTCCCATAATATTACGAGTAAAATTATAGCCTTCGCCTCTTGACCCGGATCAAAGAAATCGGCACCTGACTAGAGATTTCGGGTTAAGCAACAATTAATGAAATTTGTATACCAATCAAAGAATATAATTGACAGCGTAGATACTGCGGACGACTGTAACGAACGTTAAATGTACAACTATAGCTTTGGAGATGTTTAGTTAGATATTGATTAGTCCTTAATATAATCATAAATATTTTCGGAGAATATTCAAATTTGCCTGTGTACGTATAGAAACGTATTAGAGATAAAAGGAAGGTAAAGTTGGTTAAACTTCTATACATATATACATGTATACCTCGTGTGCTTAGAATAACATAAAACTAGGAACAATCTAATCCGAACTTATAAAATTGCAATTAAAAGTGAATATATAAGTTTCATCATGTTAATTTGTAATGTTTTTAAAAACATTCTCATTAATGGTAAAGTTATTCATGATATAAATTAAATTAAAAAATTGTCAAAGTACAAAAAATCTAACGAATCTCAAAAAAACATTCCTCTATATCCCTATAAAAGCTACTAAAGTAATATCTCTGTTGTTCATAAAAATTTTCATGTCAAGAACAAAGCTAAAAGTAGATTCTCGTGAATCTAAGAAACAAAAATCTATACATATATAAACTTGAAAAACCATTCAAGTTTTACGTAAGGACACTATGACGTAAGAAAGACGGCCAAGGTAGATCCAGAAGAAGATCACAAATGTGATCTGTTATTAAATTATTCAAAAAAGAATCTTGCCATTCAGGACCTTGTATTGGAAATCCATACTGTGTCAACAGAATGAACAATCAAAGCTAAGCCTCCGTACCCGTTCGGATCCTCCATTCTGAGACACGATGAATGATCGTATAGGACGTACAAAAGTCACTCACCAATCAGCAAGACGCTTCTGATCAGTGGCCAGATCGAAGAGATAATCTGACATCCCAGTCTGTGACATCTGAGGAATGTAGTCGTACCGTAAGGATATAGCTGTACTACGATGATATATGTATGCTGGCTGGACCTTTAAACAGTACTGATGATTTAGAGTGTATTAATTTCTGTTCAGGTCCCATAGAATCTTTATACCAATGATACAAGTCACCACGCGGTAAAATCCTAAAAAACAAATTTGTAAAAAAAAATTTTTTTAAATTGCCAAAATTTGTATACATAAAAGAATATAACGTACATTGCTCCCTTAACAGAGAATGTGAAATAAATAAGTATAAAAAATAACATAATTTCAACGTAATCCATCCTCTTGTAAAAATTTACAAAATTTCATTCTTCATTTTCCAGACTGAAAATTTTATATAAAAATTTTATGATACCGACCACTATATATAACTGCCGAAATGAAATGTGCATAACGACGAACAAAATAAGTCATCGAGTACATTGCACTCTTGCACAATGAAATCCAGATATAAACAAGAACACTCCCCTTGTACATTGTACAAGTGGCTTGCCCGTGTACACTAGAGTACATTGTGTAGAGTCAGTACAGATACTAATATATCATAAACGAACCCAGTAGAACATCGTATAAACAGGAGACACTTTTACGTCCATATCCGGACATGCTCGGTAAATTCAGTTGCGGTCAAGTAGGTACCGTGACCCCTACGGACCCTGGCAAATTGACTCTGGCAGGCCGCTTCGAGTCTGAAGAATGTGGAACTCGAAAATTGAACCAGGCAATTTTACGACTACAGCTTGCTCTCCTACAGGTAGTTACACTCTGGCCTCGAGGTTGCACAGGTATAGTGTTAGAAGAGATAGTAACCGCATTTCCGGCAGGTGCACCACGGTGCAGTAGCAATAGCAACGATAAAGTAGCTGCACTATCCTGACTATACGTAGTAACAAAAATTCTTCTTTACCACATAAGTTCGTTTACCGATCCTCCCGACAGCATCTCAAAACAATTCCAAATGTGCAAACTGTTTTGATATATCATAACGCACGGTGCATACCGCATGGATATTATACATTAAATGCATACGGTGGTCTGTACATGTATACTGCATACATTATAAGACGCGCTACCTCCCTCCAGACCTCATCGTCATCTTCGCCCTGTGGCTCGTAAATAACATGGGAGTTACCGACGCATTTTCTAACCAATTTGAGGTCATAAATATTCGAAGTCCTGCACACTCCTTGCGTACTGTAACATGAGAATCGCTAATGTCCTGGCATTTGTTTAGTCTACAGTTTAAGCTGGGTGTACGAGAACGAACACGGGTATATTCAATTTTATTGTATACGTTTTTTTTTCAGTGATACAGTATCGTGCTGTAATGCTCAAAATTGTATGATTAAGGTATTTCTTGTGCTGGGTATGGTAAAACGTAAAGAGAAGTATATGAGAATGTGATAAATAAGAGTTATTTATAATTAACGGGCTATAAGGAAAAACGAGGTCCCGAACTTACTCGGTAGAATAAAAAAAGTCTATCTCGTCGGTGAGGTCCGCTATCGTCATTAGGCAATGATGCTTACCGTTACTAACCACGGCAAATGATCATCACAATGTGTAAAAAGTTGAAGCGAGCGGGAACCTAGTCCAAGGGAGTCAGCTGGAATTACTGCGGATCATGTTGGGCAACCTGGTACGTAGCGTCTCGGCACCGCTATACTCCATTGTCGATTTAATGAAAACGCTACGTGCGACTTTTCGTCCTGAAAACTTGATAATCATCGTCAGATTTGGAATTAGATCTTGACGTATGTCCAGATTGGTAGGTCCTGTATAAAAACCATGGTATATCATTGGAAAAGTCGTTGAACCATATCTGAAGGAATAGAGTTAAGTTGAAGGTTTGATACAAAATTTTGAAATTTTGAAAAAAAATTTTTTCATATTCCTCAAAATAAAATGTTTCGACATTTTTTTTTAAATTTTCTAACGAGCTTTTGGTTTATAGATCAACGTGGAGTCATTAAAAATAATACTCAATCAAACCTACACTATCGTTCGATCGCTTAGGTATTATAAATGGAGAACGTTAAGGCTTTACGTATGAATGGGGCCTTTTTTTGGATCTTTAGACCAGAGGCCCTGGCACACTCAAGACTCGTCAGTGGAGATCTTTGAGATGGACGTGTTGCGTAATTACCGGATAGTCACAGGTGTCGAATGTACACGCAATTACGTACCTGCTACCTACCATGTAAAGAATTGACGTTTTGTTTACGCGACTGAACTCCACGTACTTGCCTCCAATCGATAAAAGCGTAAGTATAGAATATACTGTTGTGGTATAGTAGATTGGACGAAAGTAATACTAATTAAAAGAAAATACAAAAAAAATTCAGAGAGTCCCATTAGTGGCGCTCGAGCAGTTTAAATTTTAAAAATGAAAACTTTCACCTGGTAGAATATTGCAGTAAATTGAACTAAGCACCGATTATTATTCTTCCTAAAGAAACAATGAGAATTAAAGATACAGGAAGATAGTAAGAAATAAAAAAAAATAATTTTACTATGCAACTGCTCTTATCGCAAAAATATATTCTACTGTTGTTTTCACTGTGAACGAAAGTTCTCATAATAAAATCCAGACTGAATTTCGCTTCACGTGAAAGCTAATCGGAGAACGTGAAGTCATTCGCAAGGAACATTGTAGTCTAAAATGGTCAATGTTGTCTTAATTTTTGTCGGTTATTTACATAAATGCATATATGCTTTCACTCGTGATGGTAATTTCGCTACGGTGCTTGCCTTATTAATACAGAGATTTTTCTACTTCTTTCCTCCGTCGTTTCTTCTTCTGCACTGTTCTTGGGTCTCTCGAGTATCTTTCAACCTCTTTCCAGTGTCCCATGGATAATTCACGGAAACGACGAACCTCGCAGCATCCCAGAATAGCCCGTAGAGTTTCGAAGCGGTTGTCGTGCATTGTCGCGGAGATAAAATGCGAGAGGAACGCGGAAACCGTACGAGCCGCAGTGCCATCTAGGGATTGGTAATGGAAGATGCGACGCCAATGAGTTTGTCCCGTAACGGGGTACCAAGCACGCTTCGCTGCTCGCGTACTCGAAACCCATCGCTTCCTGTACCTCCAGCTTTTTTCTCTGGGACAAGGCTTAATTAAATACCATGAAGATGCCTCATTTGTTCGAGTCAACGGTAGAACGTACACAAAGGTAGATATCCTGTTATAGCCCCATATATTTTCCAAAAGAACTTGTACATACATTTGGCGGTAGATTGAAAGGACCAAAAAAGGTATAAATTCTTTCAAAGTGAAGATTCGAATCTATATAACTAATAAATATAAATCAATAAAGAGCCACGATAAGTAATAAATATTGCTGTTCAGGTAAAAATTTTTAATTTACAAAAAGAAATATTGAATTTTCAACAATACAGCTCATACCTTCATAACGCAGTTCTATTTAACTAATGAGATATATATATAGTCTGAAAGAATGCTTGACAATTCCGAAAATTGATGAAGGAATAAAACTAAAAATTAATTTTCGATGGTTCGATCGAGAAGCGTTACCGACCTCAAGTTACTTCAAATGGCATAAGAGTTCCCATTAGGTTTGACTATGAGTAATACTCGATAGGGTTTCTCTCGCGTACTCCCACGTACTCGTACACGGTCCTTCCCTCTACCCATGGGATCCCATGAATGAAACTCCCCAGAGGCTCTACACTTAAGAGAAGGTTCCAGCTCAACCCAGGAGAAGAGAATGTCTCCCAGGAAGGGAGTTCGATAGCGTGCCACCAGGTGTCGAGCTGTTGATGGCGGCTCCTTGAAACACCTGACCGGCCAGTGCGGCATGGACTCGTGCGCCAGACACTTCTTTAAATACAAGTAGCACGCGTAAACAAAACTTCCAAGATTGATTTCGCTCTCAATAAAAAGCCTATAAACAAGCTCAACGTACGGAAGGAAGACAAAAACAAACCCGTGTACCATGTGCCTCGAGACCGAGAGACTGTCGCGGACGGTTGGATGAATTTATGAAAATCTCATTCACGTGGATACGAGCAATAAGGATAGACAAAAATACCCATAGAAAAAACTCATTCTTGAGACTCGGATAACTCGTAAGTGAACCAATAAAAAAAAAGTGTCTTCGAATCACCGGAATGGGATATGAAAAATATCTCGATCTTTCCTCGATCGATTATTTTTAATTTTATCCAAAATATGGATCGCGCGTGCCAACTTCTCGAATAGATACTCTCCCGTATCAATGCGGAGAATTTTAGTGCGATTCGTGACACGGTACTACAGCTGTAGTGGTACCCCATCTTAGAAACCAGACAACGAGGATGTAAGGATAGGCCTAACCTATATCGAGCATTCCGTCTCTTCAAGATGCTGCTCCGTCGGCTCGTATTTGTGATTTCACTCGTGATACTTGTTTATGCCGATGACGACACTACACCTGCGTACGAGGAGGACCTTCCGGTTGGGACCGGTGACTTCATCCATTCCGTCGATACAGGTTAGAGAGCATTCAAAGAACCTTTTTCATCTTCGTTATTTCCTGTGCTAATATACATACATATTCATAAAATTTACAAATTTAGATATACATACGTATACAACAAAATAAAAGACGTTTATCCTGATCTTATAGTACCTATACCTACTACTATATACTATATACTATATATGTATACAGCAAGCTGCCTACTATGTTCCACTTACTCTTCCTTTGGGCTCTCACCATTCTCTCTTTTAGGGAAACCATGGAAAGGAGAAACATGCTCCTGAGATTTATTAGAATTCGAGAAAACGGGTCTTCCCCTCGCCCCCTTCTTTCTCTTTCTCTTTATCTCTTTCTTTGGCATTCTCTTAACTTCTTCTTCCTTATCTTTATTCTCCTTAACGTGCGTCTTCGTCTCGGGTTTAGAATGCTCCTGTGCTATACACTTCTCACGATTTACCTATACCTTTATTTCCAAGCAGTTCGTGCTGAAACGAACAGCCACTGTAACGTATGAGAACGAGAGAGTCCGAAACTCTTGAATTCTTTGAATTTCCTTCCGCGTCTATTCTGCCACTCGCTATAGTAATACTTCATGTGTCTTTATACAGCGCGTTGAGTTCTTAAACGGATGTCAAGTGAATTATGCGAAATGTACTATAGCCTATAATAATACTTCATGGGATCCCGGGACGTATCGCTATATACTTATTTATACTTAACTAAGCTATCGGACCTCTTGCAAATACCACAAAGGTGCGAACTACACTTTCTCTAGGTTGATCATAGCAAAAATTGAGGTGAACGTTTCACGGCGCTTTATACTATAGGTTTGTAGACTGTAGTATATAATATGATACACGTATTATACGGGTTGATGACACCATTTCACGCGGCGATAAGTACGTAGCTTTATTTGAATTAGGAACAAGAGACTCCATTTTGTTTTAAATATATAGTCAGTATATCTATTTTCAATAGGAAATCAAGTTAATCCGAGATTATTCTTGTTTCCTTGTAATACTCGTACGTGGAATTTCTTCTTTACCTACATATACACTGTGTCAGGAAATAACTGGGATGTGTAACAAATAAAAGACAATCGGATGCACATATTCCAGCTATTTACATACCGGCCAACATTTTAACGGTACTTTAATCGGTTAGCGTACTCGACTCGACCTTTTATACTTATTTCTGAAGCGTGTAACAGAAACCCAGAATCGGGATACGCGGAGGCGTCGTGTGACGATAATATACAGTAATGCGCAATTGAAGTGGAACACTTTAATTTTTGTGTATCTCTACGAAACTATGACCGATTTAAAAAAACTAAAGATATGTTTTTTAGGAAATTTTCTTCCCGTTCGAATGGTAAAGGTTTTATCCCGATCGGATACAAAATGGCCGAATGGCAGGGGTTGGAGTGAAAAAGTGCATTTTTGAACTTTTTGAAAATTTCGAGATCTAGTAGTTCCGGAAGGAAATTTATATTTCTAATCGGGGAACGAGAGAGAGCATCCTTCGGCAATAAAAAAACACCCCCATTGAACCCCTGTAGGATCACTCTAGGGGGAGTTACACCCCCTTGAAGTGAAAACACTTAAATGGCCATAACTTCCGAACACGCCGGCCAATCTGGTCCGAATACTGAAAAAATGCACGAGTAACGGTATCCTGATCCTTATATGGAATTGTAATAAAAGAATAGTTGATTTTAAGGTATTTCATACGTATGCATATATGTTTACGGGAAGATGTAGAAATTATGACAGGCTTATAATATGCTTGCTTGCGCGTTTAACATTGTCAATATTTTTGTACTATGCTGTACTTATGTATAAGCAATGCAATATGGACAGTCGGTGTAGACATGTTTATGGTTAAATTACGGTATAACGTGTCACCTGACAATTTAATGTAGTGACTTGCATCGCGGAATTATTTTTATCCGTGTAAACTTGTCGCCACTTCGCCATTCCTAATTAATCCAAACAAGACGGATTAGATTTTATTGAATATTCCAAGAAAATATTTGAATTGATTAATCTTGTAAACAAAAATTCTTATCACCTTTTTCTTACGGGGGTCTCTACCATAAAATAGAAACTGGATGGCAGTTCTCGATAAATCTACTATCTAAATGTGTTTGTGGGTAATAAATCTATTGATTCACATTCCTGTATATTTCGGTCGTCCAATTAATGATAATGATGATCATTCGGATAGTGCCCTACACGTATGTTCTAACAGGAATTAGGTGAGGAAACCGTTCATTGGCCGTTGCTGCTGCCAATTTCTTTCTTTGTTCTTTCTCATTCTCACGCTTTAGGAGAATCTTCAATTAACCAATGCAAGGATAACCATGATCTTAATTCATTTGCATGCGCTTAGAAAGGCGGAAATGTATCCCCAGGCGCGACACGTCTAACTCATTGCGTGCCAAGTTTCTTTGCGCGTGCAAATAGCCATCTAGCTGTCGTGTGGAATTTGCAATGGAAAATTTTCAATGTTGACGAATCATTTTACTTGTCTTTCGTACAAATCGATAAAATAAAGAAGCATTCTTAAACATATACGTATAGTTGTAGATAGTAATTCTACGAAATCAGACTACCGGCAGATCTTCCGTTTAAAAATCACCTTGACTCTTTAAATTTTAACAGTAATTATAGATACGTAATAAAATTGCTAAGTAGCGAGAAAAAATTATTATTTTTTATGTAATAATATAAATAAAAAATTTTTCCAAGTCCAAGCTGTATTATGTTCAGGCATTTTTTTGCTTTATTAATAAAGTGCGTGCCGGATAAATCAGGTCTTATGGCTATAATTCAAGATATAGGTACCTGTAATCATAAGACTGACCCAGGCTTCTCTGAATAAGGCCCAAATGGAAGACCACGGCATAATTCGCGATGAGTATAAAGTAGTAGTGGTATAGTAGTCAGTGGTAGTAACTGTTGATAGTAGTAGTAGCCGCGATAGTTAGTAGTAGTAGTAGCGGACGAGAGTTTCGAAGATGAGCAGACCAAGCCATATCAAAATAATTGCCATAGATTTAATTAAGATTGAGGCCCGCTCGACAGAGGCCTTCGCTACATTATTATTCGCCTCCCTGTATACGGAGATGATACGTGTCGACTGCTGTCGCAGCCTTGCAAATTAAAGCTTGATACCAGGGAACATCGGTAGTCATTTGCCAACTACGAAATACCACGTAAATCTGGGGGCCTTGAGGCCCTCCTCCCCATATTATGCAACTCAAACGTTTCACTCAAGCAAATACTTTTCGTTCACATTGCACAGTACCACGCGCACCCTGCTACCTGTCCATTGCAAATCCTTGAAAAATACGAAGAATACGCAATTTCCTTTTTTTTTTTCTTGAAAATCATCATTAAACCTCGTGCTCGTACAGAGACATCGTTTTTCTAAACGACTCTCATCATTTTATTCGGCATTATTAAACAACTCGTCATAACAGCCGCTTACCCAGTATAAGAACTGGTACTGCGATTTCAGCCGATCCTTATACTCATACGTAATACAGAATTGCACAATGCATCGTGTTCCCTCGTATGTAAAAAAAAAAAAGATGCAGTCATTCAATTATTAAAATTTGTTCGTAACGACGTAAGCGGTGATCAATTTGAAATTAACTTTGTAAAAATTCTTAACGATGGTATATTTTTATTATTATTTGACATTATAAAATATAGTATAATAAGAACGATACGAGTATGGCCGAAGCCAACGTAACCAATTTCCGCAGACGTACAGGTGAACGCAATGACAGGGTAAACGGATACCAGTCGTCATTTTATATATTATCTCTGGCTCTACCATACTTTTCTTAGACAATGTACTGCCCATCCAACGTTCCAACGACGGTGTGTCATTATCTGCCATTACTATTATCCCACAACGATACCAACCGTCAATAGACCCCTATCAAGCGAACTGACCGCGATCGCACATGCCTTTACGCGAAAACACTTATACGCACCTTACACACATGTATCCTCGTACCGCGAATTCGCGCAATGATATAACGCACACCTTCTACGCCCCTTACACGAGCGGCGTATTATCTTCCACGTGCTCTTATTACCTATCTACGGTGCGGTAAACGCGCCCTTATGCATTACCTGCCAATCTACTTTACATCGCCATTTCTCGTGCCGTCGCTCCGGCCGCTTCCATCTTTCTGCCACCTGCGACGATGATACCGGTACCGAGTGCTGCCTATATTTTATTTTTTTTTAGGTTTTTCAGTTTTATTGCGTATATATGGGTAGGTAATACATTGTTGGCATAGATACGAGATATACAGAGTCGTTGTATACGTAGGTTGCAGCTTTGGCGAATAGCACGTGAGGCCGACAATCACGTGAACGAGATGTCAACCTTGTAGAAGAGGACAGGGACGGGTTAATCGTTGAAAATAAGTGAAATTTTTTTGAGGGGGCGCATAAGACGATTTGGAGGATCTTAAGGGCGAAATGAAATATGGGTAATGGTGGATAAAGATAGCTATTTTATGGAGATTTTTTTTATATAGAATGATTTTTTTTTTTTTTTTTTTTTTTTTTTAATAGTAAAGAAGGAAGGAGACGCAGAGACCGCGCGAAACCGTTAAACTTTAATGTGACAGGAGGAATTTTTTTTTTTTTTTTAAAAAATTTTTTTTTTTTTTTTTTTTTTTTTTGGAGCGAGGGCAATTTTTTTCAGGTATGGTAATGCTGGGGGTTTATGGAGTGTTGTGGTGATTTATTCTTGTATTGTGTCTACGTCCCTGGTTTGTGGGACTGCGAGACATTCGAAAGGATCGTCAGTATGTACGTCTCTTAAGGAGGCTCGAAATTATACCATACAAAAACATGAGCATTGTTCTTTAGTTGGCAAGGGTGGTTCGGTTGGTATGTATTTTTTGATGGAAAAAACGAATGGAAAAGAAGATTGGGTAATTACGGAAGAATCAAAAGTGCCTTTATCAGACTGACATTAACTGT